TTTTTATTATAAAATTATATTAAAAAATAAAAATTATTTTTTAATTTATCAATTATTTAATTAAATTTATACATTTAATATTGATATAAAAATTATTATCAATATTTATATTTTTTAATATACATTTATAATAAAATACTATTCTTAACCTATATATTAAAAAAATGTTTAAAAAACCTTTATATATTATTTCTGTTTCCTCAAAAAATCCTCAGCCGACCTTTACCACGTGAGTTGAATGTTAGGCGTGCCACTTGCTTTGTCTAAAAACAAGAAAATAGGATTTTCCAGACGACCCTTCTCCTTTCCAACGGTTGACCTCCAATAGGATGGCTGGAAAGAACGTCTGTGAAATGAATTGCGCCCCAGACGATGTTGCAAAGCAGAGGGTAGAGCTCTGCAAAATGGGTTACTAATTGCCTTGGAAACCTCTAAGGACTTCACAACCAAACAAGTATAATAAAAGCTACAAATCCTAAAATAAATGCAATATCCTAAAGCAATTAAACTAATATGAAGCAATTAACAGAAAATAACATGCCATAAAGATTAAATTCGCAGACAACAGAATAAGTAAAATGACAGACAATGATTTCAACTACGCAGCCCATAATGACAACTAAAATTGAAGAAGAAACTATGAAATGATTAAAGTCTGGAAACTTATAAATTTAAATCTGGAATTGAAATGAAACAAATTGCATGTCTGGATATTATGCAGAAACAAAAGAACAAAGGTAGAAACTGAAGAACAAAGGTAGAAACTGTTCATCCTATTTACATGAACAAATAACATAACTAAATCCATAAAAGGAAGAAGAACTAACCGGATCAAAAGGGCAGACCTGTTTTGAGGGTTAAGTTGCTTCCAAATGTTTAAAAACTAATCTAAATTGGAATTTGCAGAAGAAAATATGATGAACAAACCTAGGCTAAGGCTATGAACTAATCTGGAAAATTTGGAAAATCTGGGAAATCTGTGAACTAATGCTGAAATCTGGAAAATGCAGTCTGAAAGCTGAAAAACATGCTCTGGGCAGTCTGTGTGTGTGCTGGGCAGGCCTTGAACTGTTCTCTTCTCTCTGTTTTTGTTCCCTTCGATGCTGGTAACTTCCTCCATGATCTTCTCCATGATCTTCGGTACTGTTCCTCGATTTTCGGCACTGTTCCTCCATGATCTGGTAATGGAATTGCAGGTCTGGCAGTTATTTAATAGTTATCCGATTTTTATTTAACCTTATCTCCAACAACCTTAAGGATAACTACCTAAAAATCCTCAATTTCCCATTTTAAATCAAACTCAAACTACCAGATCTAATCTTATCTTCTGCCACCTAAGATCCAACCTCCTTGGAAATCTGTCTGGGCCGTTAAATTGTAAGCCAGCCCAGCCCAAATCCAGCCTATTGATTTTCTTGATAATTGGGTTTTACCTTGACACGTGGCCTTACCCTATTGGTTTATTTTAGGTGTAAACAATGCCCCCCAACACTTGGTTTTATGGGAATAAATCCAAGTGTTTAAATTACCTTTCAAACGCCAAAGGCCACGTGCAAAGTCTGCTAAATCCCAAGATGATTGTAGTAGGTATTCCTAACTTTTTCACAACTGACTCTGTCTGAGCGCATCCAGCCATCCACAGCCAGTCATGGCCGCTCGATCAAACTTGCTCTCATTTTGGAATAAACACATGAAAGCAAATCAACTTATTTATGCATAGACAAAAGTACGAACCTGGCTCAGACAGCTTCTTGGGACTCTAAGCCTCTTGCCTCCCAGACTGTCGGGTAATAAGGCTTGAGATAAATTCCATTGATTTTTCTGAGATGAAGCTCTCCATCAAGTGACTCCAACCAATAATCACCCCTTCTCAACACTTCATGAATTAGAAATGGTCCTTCCCAATTTGGAGACCATTTCCCAAATCTGTGATCTTTCTTGCCAAGAGGTAAAATTGCTTTCCAGACCAAGTCACCAACCGCCAGATTTTTACTTTTTACTCTCTTGTTGTAAGATTTTGCAATTTTGAGTTTTTGAGCTTGCAATCTATCCAAGGCTGTCAATCGTGAGTCTTCAAGGTCTTCAAGCTCAAGCATCATGGCCTCATCATATTCCCCATACTGGAGATTATGTTGAATCAACACCCTTAAAGACCTGGCTGTTAGCTCCATTGGCAAGACTGCGTCATGGCCATATGTCAAGGCAAAAGGTGTCATTTTGGTTGAACTCCTTTGTGAAGTTCTATAAGCCCACAATGTTTCAGACAATAATTCATGCCAGCGTCTGGGATTGTCATCCACCATTTTTTCAAGCAAATTAATCACCACCTTGTTAGAGGCCTCCGCCTGCCCATTAGCTTGTGCATAATAAGGAGTAGAATTTAACAGACGGAAACCCATTTCCTTTACAAATGCCTCCACTTGATGGTTGACAAAAACTGTGCCTTGGTCTGTTGTAATTGTTTCTGGCAGACCAAATCTGTGAATAATGTCCTCTTTGATGAACTTGATTACATCAGATTGGTCTACCTTCTTCATTGGTTTAGCCTCCACCCATTTGATAAAATAATTCGTTGCCACTATAATAAATGAATGACCTTTTGATGAAGGGGGATACACCTTACCAATTAAGTCAATAGCCCAGCCTCGAAATGGCCATGGTTTCACAATAGAGTTAAGTTCAGAGGCTGGAACTCTTTGAAGTGGCCCATGGATCTGACAAGATTTGCAGCTCTTAGCATAAGCAATACAATCTTTTAAGACAGACGGCCAGAAGAAGCCATGTCTGCGAATCAGCCAACGCATTTTGATCCCAGCCTGGTGTGCACCACAAATCCCATCATGAACATCAGACAGCATCTGGAAACTTTCATCTGGACCCAGACAACGCAGCAGTAGTTCATTATGGCCTCTCCTATAAAGTACATCCTCAATCAAAACATAATTGAGAGCTTGCATTTTGGTTTTCCTAGATACCTTAGTGCTTTGATCCTTAAAGTACTGAATAATTGGAAAGCGCCAGTCCGTCTGGGTAGCATCAATGCTGCAAGTGGAGATAGTCATGCCACGTTGATGAATTGATGGCAGACTGCGTTTTTCAACTATTATAACTTTCTGCATTACACCTTCAGGAATTCGCAGACCTGAAGCAATCTGGGCCATTTCATTAGCTTCATAGTTCCGGTCTCTGGGCACATGTCTGATGGACACGTCATCAAATTCTTCCAGCAATTGCACAGCCAAGGCAAAATAAGGGGCTAAAGCAAGGCTAGTACATTTGTACTCACCAGACAATTGCTTCAAAACTAGCTGTGAGTCC